TCTATCTATCTATCTATCTCCTCACCAATTATTCACACTATGAACAGAAATATAGCATTTACAGAGAGAATGCCGTTTGATATAAAGGAAATATAACAGATGTTTGCAGTACAACCTCCTTTCCCCTCTGGTTAAAAATATTGCTTCTAATGAGTCATGGGTAGATTTTTAGTTTTTAGCAGTATCGGTAATAAATAAAATGGCAACTGCAATTTAAGGGATATACATAATATTTATAATATTTTCACACACTTTGCTTTGTGTACCTTTTTGTTACTTGTCCTTTTTCTTTTTATTTCTTTTTTTTTTGCTATTCATGGTGCTTTTCTGTGTTGAGGTGGTGTGCTTCGATTTTGTCTCGGTTACCTCACTGAATATTACTTTTCGCTGCAGTCGTGACCTAATTTCCCTAGAGGGATCAATGTTTTTATCTTATCTCATGTCACATACACACTGCTCTTGATCTGTCATTGTTGCGTGTGCTTGAAGCCCATTTCTTTCATGTGCTTTCAGCTCCAGGATCCTCCGAGCCATGTGTTTGTGTTATCCAGGATCACCAATGTTATTAAGTTTATTAAAGCCAAATAGCCCAAAGAGAGCTTAAGGAAGTTACTTGCTTTGTGAGGCAGGCCTACAGAGACCCGTGTTGAACAAAGGACTGATCATATCAACATGAGCTCATTTTAGTTACCTTGTGATATAAACCCAAAGGCTTACATAAAAAGAAGATAACTTAAATATGGACAAACTTGTTAGGATTAACCCGAAGAAGGGAAAATCGGCTTAAAGAAAACCTAACCTGTAAGACTTGAAACGGAAGGGTGTCAACAGCCGTCTTCGCTTACATTGAGTAATGACGTAAACCTGGCTTCTGGACAATATTGTGACCAGCCAGTTGAGTCATTCCCTCCACCTAGTTTTATAAACAAGGAGACAGATATTTTACATGGCTGCATTCGGTTGAACTCAATTACTTGGGATCTGTTTTAATTCTTTTTGGGAGGAAATAGGTCCTTTGTTGTACAATACAGCAGTTTTCATGTCTACATCGCCATCTGTGCAGACAATGAACATCTTTCTCACCAACTCATCACTCTCTCCTGCTCACAGGTTAGATACAATATGTGTCACTTTAACCTCTCTGGATTGTAACTCAGCCAGTCCCTGTTTAAAAATGTCCTGCAGTCGAAACACTACATGGTCCCTGTGACATGATGTTGTAAGATGAAAAATGTCATGCTTTATCTGGTAAGCCTAGAATGTT